GAGCGATGAAAAGAGTAGTCTTATACAAAGCTGGAGAGACAAAGAAATTTCTTTGTTTTTGCATATGTATTCGCTCTCCATAAGTAGTCGAGCAGTTTGGAATTCGATCAAGGATGTGTTGATTGATCCAGCTGAAAAGGACAGATTCGGAGCAGCAATGACTAAAGCTGTGTTTGAACTATTTGATGATCTCAGAGGCACTCACGGTGAACATTTGGACGGACATGGAATGGCTTGGTCGTTCTGGGCCAACAGTATTTTGAACGCTCCCGCTCACCTAAGGCCAGCAATGATGGACCATCCTCCCCAGCATTTATCTCATTTGTTCCGGGCAAAAGAAGGACCTCGTATCAATGCAATAAGAAGAGAATTGAACGTAGCCCACAGTGTTAACGATAGTTTTTGATGAGGAGATCACATCACTTCGTCAGGCTTTTGATGTTCTGGAATCGAGTTTTGAAAATGTTGCCGAAACGATGAAGATTGTGAAACACCGTCTGGAGGCTTTGGAGATAAGAGACAAGCTGAGCGAAACCCTCATCAGTGCTATGGAGTCTCAGCAGGGCCGGACATTGAGCATAGAAATCACCGACGCTGACGATGTTGATCATGTTTAACCAATTTATATTCGGCCATTTATTTCATCGTTTTCTTCTTCTGCTAAACAAGCAGAACAACTTTTACAAATAAACAGTTAAATAAAACAAACTTTATCAATCTCCTTTCAAGGTTATGTCAATCAGTTCTTCTGGAACTGCTATATTTGGATCAAACTTTCCTCCATGAACGCATCCCGGATAGTATTCTAGGCCTTATGGAAGCTATCCTAGACGCTGCCGCTTCCGCCGTTCCGACGACGGGCAGCAAACCAGGATGAAAAGCCCTCCGCTGGTAGAACGACGACACCAAAAAAGCTGTTAAGCCACTTCGAAAACTCAAACGCCTCCAAACGATCACAATGCTGCCCTTGACAACTACCACTAGCCACACACCCAGTGCCGTCAAGAAATGAAAACTGCTAAGCAATCCAGCTGGATGAACTGCCTTGATACACTCAAAAAAATCCACACGTTCCATTCATGTGTTTTCAAATATGAATTTTGCCAATTGCCAGTCACCATGATATCATGTGAATTTCATTCGCATTTCATGGGATCAATGTTCAAAAATCACATGTCCCAGCTGTCGGTGAAATCAAAACAAACCACACCATAATTTCGTGTGTTTACTTATTGAAATTCATGGGATCTCAGTATAGGATCTGCGCTACTGTTTTCTACTATTGCATTTAACGTGTATGGTACATGGATCTAATCAGTAGCACGACGAGTGTCAAAAGAAGTATTAAACAAAGTAACAATCAATGCTAATGTATGTTGCTGCTACAGTTATGACCCGTACGAGAGTTTCCAGGTACAACACAATATTAATTTACGCTTTAATCTACTGTCAATAATTACTTTTCCCAGTAGCGATTAATTTGTCAGCTGGTGTGAAGTACTTGGTCAGTTCTATCTCACAGAAAACTTTATTTTTGGCTTCATTAGAGAGATTTTCAGGCCTTGGCTGGATCATTTTTAAAACAGAAAACTGATCAGGAATAGTAAGTAAATCCTATTTATTGACAAAAGCTGGAAAACTTTATATCTCTATTACAGTCTTTTACAGTATCCTGGGGCTCCTAGCTCCTGGTGTAGTGAAGCGATTGGAGAGAGCTGTAGTGTATTTTTTTCTTATCTTTCATGAATTATTAATGCAAAAAAAATCATTAAATGAAATGCAATATTGCTGGGATAAGTTTTAATCCATTATCAAAGGTAAGTTACACAAACCAGATATGTTCAAGAATATACTTTTTAAAGAAGGAAATTTGATGATTAGGTGTCAGACTGTCAATAACAAAATGTGAAACATATGAAATCCAAGTGTATCACAATTGAACTTATAGTGTTCGGGTATAATTTCTATTATAAGATTCACACATGAATTGGATGTGTTTCGCAATTTGCGCAAATTGAAGTGTAGAACACATAAAGGTAACGTGTGATTTTTTTTAAGTGTAGTATCAACGAATCACAATCCTCGGTGGACATTTGGAATCGAGTCAACGCCCTCAGTGACAAACGGCGTATGGCTCCACGGTATCCGACCGCTCTACCTCCATCTCAAACTTATGGTACCACCGGATCCTAGCAACACGGACATCAACCAGACATATTTCCCTGGGAGGAACCCCGCTTTGCTTTAAGCCGAAGCACTGGCAAATCCGCCGGACCGGACGAGGTTGGTTACCCCCTTCTGACCGAGGGGGGCGACACATCTAAATCTTACTTCAAGATGCTCGAAAAATCTCGCACTAGCGATTGAGCCTTCGAAAAATCCTCTATCATTTTTCGCATCTACTTGCATCGCGCATCATCTTTTTGCAGAAAATCTTCAGAATTGTCATCAATCTGCTTTCTATCTACTAAGCGTGCGGGCAGCTAACCACAGCAAAACAAAATCTTTCCTACATCGCAGGTAGAGTCGCCCCCCCTAGCTTCTGACCCACTTACCCGTTCCAGGCATTGTTGGAACTATTCAACAAACTATGGCTGAATGGGGTGTACCCTGACAAGTAGAAGGAGAGCCTCGTCGTGCCCATCTCGAAAAAAAAACGAATCATCTCATGAAGCATCCAAATACCGTCCGATCGCTCTCACCTTGCTGCATGACCAAAAATGGTAAACCGTAGGCTTAAACAGTTCCTCGAGAACGGTTCCGTACTGCTTTTCGACAGGGCTACGGCACCTCTACGTACTTTGCGACTCTCGGAGACGTTCTCCAGGAAGCCAAGAACAACATCAACCACATTGAGCGGGTATCCCTCTACATATCGAAGGCTTTAAACAGGACGTGGACGCCCCTCGTGCTCAACCAAACAGAGTCGATAATCCACTTAATCACCGATCGTTCTTTCAGAGTCACAATTGGCGACACGAGGTTCCAGCCTTTCCGTGAGGAAACGGGGTCTCCCAGGGATCAGAAATTGCAGTCACGCTGTGCCTTATAGCAATGAACGGTGTCTTCAGTCGGCTTCCTCGCAACATCTTCATCTTTGTTTACGCCGATGACGTCCTCGTAGTCTCCGTCGGCCGAACGCCGACCCGCAAAAATCCTGGGTGTTCTAATCGACCGGAAGCTTTGCTTTGAGCCCCATTTGCTAGCCGTTAAATCCAGCTGTCGTAGCACGCTAAACCTGGCGCGGACCAGGCGCACCAGACAGCACCAATCCAACAACCGTGACATCCGGTTTAAGGTGGCGCGGGCAATTATTGACAGTCGTTTGCTCTACGGCCTTGAGCTAACCTGCTCAGCTACCGAAAAGCTAATTAAACCCTCGCTCCGACCTTCAACAGCTACGTCCGTATTGAATAATTTTGCACAAGCCGAAACTTCTTAAGGCATGGATGGAAGCCGATCCAATCCTAGGAAGGCGACTCTATCTACGATGCAGGAAAAATTGTGTTTTGCTGTGGCTAGCTGCGCGCACGGTGAGTAGATAGAAAGAAGATTGATGTCGATTATGAAGATTTCCTGCAAAAAGATGATGCGCGATGCAAGTAGATGAGAGAAATGAAAGAATATTTTTCGAAGTTTGATTCGCTAGTGTGAGATTTGTTGAGCATCTATAATTGAGATTTAGATGTGTCGCCCCCCTCGATCCAATCGCTTCAAGTTGGAACCTCTCTTGGTTTGGGAAGACCTGTGGCGTTACGTGGTACCCGGTGAAAACCCGGAGGCGGAAGCAGTTGCCGTCTGGAGCACTGGAGATGCCAAAGTCAGGGCGACCATCGGAATGCTCGTCGAGAACAACCAGCACGCGTTGATCCGTTTGTCGATGACAGCGAAGGAAGCATGGATGTCACTCCAGAACCATCATCAGAAAGTGAGCCTCACGTCAAAAGTCTCGTTGCTGAAGCGAATCTGCGACAAGCGTTATAGGGAAGGAGAGGACATGGTCGAACACGTTTTCGCTATGGAGGAACAGTTCAGTAGCCTTGCGAATGCTCAACAGCAATTGGAGGAAAATCTCATGGTCGCCATGATCCTGAGAAGCCTGCCAAGCACGTTCGACACCCTGACTACCGCTTTGGAGAGCCTGTGGGACGAGGACCTGACCCTGGAGCTTGTCAAGCGGAAAGTCCTGGATGAAGCCGCGAAACGACAAGGCTACAGGAAGAAGAAAACGCTGGTCTACCACTATTGCCAAAAGGCAGGCCACATGCAGAGGGAGTGTCGACAATTCATCCGGGACAACGAGAAAGAAACGAAGCCAGGTGAGCAGGGAAAGCATTCACCGAAAAACAATGGAAATTTCGTATCGTTCGCGCTTCTGGCCGGAAGACGCGAGGATGAAAATGGAGATGAAGACAAGCCTTGGATTGTGGACTCGGGTGCGAGCAGTCATACCGTCGCGAGCCGTAATTTTTTTTTCTCGGAGCTGCACGAAAGCGACGTGAAACACGTTACACTTGCTGACGGGAAGCGAGCAATCGTCAAAGGAGAAGGTCCCCGAGTGATCCTGTGCTACGATGACAAGGGTAAGCAAACCGAGATGAAGCTGAGCAAGGCGCTGTATACACCCAGGCTGGCGATGAATCTTGTTCCGTCGCTAGCGCAAAAACACGCAACTGTTATTTTCTACATCAACGGTTGCCGGGTGATGCGGGGTCAGCAAACAGTCGCCATGGCAACGCTCCAACAAGGTTTGTACTAGGGGAAATAGCCCTATTGATGCGGTACGTTAGCAGCGTTAGAAGCCTATTGTTGTGTATGGAGGTCTCCATACACAACAATAGGCTTCTAACGCTGCTAACGTACCGCAACAATAGGGCTGTTTCCCCTACTTGAAGCAGCCGAACGCCGTAATCTTGCTGGCAGGTATGAACCACAAGAAAGGCTGCAAATATGAGTGGCAAAGGAAATTCGGTCACAGAAATCTCAATGCGATAACCCGAATGGAGAAGGACGACTTGGTAAGCGGATTGAAGACCAACGAATGTGGGGTTAACGAGACTTGCGAGTGTTGCTGCAAGCGTAAAAGCTCCCGTACCCCCTTTCCCAAGGAATCGAAATCGAGCTCGAAGGCGTCGTTGGACATAGTGCACACGGATGTGTGTGGTCCAGTGGATAAGCGGTTCTTGATACTTCATGACCATTATCGACGACTATTCGTGGTACTGTACGCTGTATTTGCTGAAAGAGAAATCGGAGGGAGCAGATAAAATCATCGAATAAGTCGAAGCGGTCAAGACCCAGTTTGGCCACAAACCCCAAGTCTTGCGGTCCGATCAAGGGGGAGAATATAGCAGCGAGAAACTGCGTTCGTTCTACCATCAAGAAGGCATCAAGGCACAATACACGGTGGCGTACAGTCCGCAGCAAAACGGAGTGGCGGAGCGACGAAACCGTTATCTCATCGAAATGGGTAGATGCCTGCTGTTCGATTCTGGATTGCATCAGTGTTATTGGGCGAAGGCATTGAATACAGCGGTGTATTTCCAAAACATATCGCCATCAAGATCGCTGTACCGGAACAACCGAAAATCAGACGTTGGTCATCTGCAAGTTTTTACCAGTGCCTGGGTACACATCTCGAAGCTCAGAAGCTGTTCTTCGTCGTATATTCCCAGGACCACAAGGCGTATCGGTTCCTGGATAAAGCAACCTGGAAAATCTACATCAGCCGGGACGCAACGTTTGTCGAGGTCGGACTAGAAAAGTCGATCGAAAATCTTCAGGAGGAGAGCACGGTCGAATATCATTCGACACTGAAGCCCACCGTAGCAGATATGCCCGACTATGAGGACGACGGTGGAGAAGAAGAAGAAGACGATGGTGGTGGTGATGGCTACGATACTGCTGTTGAGAGCGAGCCAGACGACGACAATGACGCTGATCAATCGAGTCAATTCATAGAAAGCGACGGCGATATCAATATGAACATCGAACCACCAACTGAACTGAGACGATCCACGAGAGTCACCATGGGAATCCTGCCGAAATGTTACTCAGAGGTCACCAGCGTCACCAGTACTACCGCCAATGAACCCAGGAGCTATACCGATGCAATCCAATGTCCAGATGCAGAAGCGTGGCATTTTGTAATGAAGGAGGAGCTACAGTCGTTACTGGACAGCCAAACATGGGAGCTAGTACCACCATAGAGGTAACTCTAAGACCACTGGGTCCCGAAGAAAATCATTATTATTTTTGGCTCACTCAGTACCAGAACAACGGTCCCAAGCAGTCCCAAGCTATTTCACTCACCCCTGCATGTTCTGCATGAATCCACACACCCCTGATGTTATCTGTCAAACTTTCAAAGTGAATCAAAACAAACATAGTGTAGTAATAGAATTTCAACTAGAATAGGGTACGTTAATCGTTTGCTTGGGACCAATAGGCTACTAAAGTGGTGAGCCAATTTAAAATCGTTAGTTTCGTATTGATTGTTGGTACCACTGCTCCCTGGAAGGAAGACCGTTGGGTGTAAGTGGACCTTCAAGAAAAAGCGCGATGAAAATGGCAACACAGTGCGATACAAGCATAGAGGTAGCTCTAAGACCAGCAGGTCCCGAAGAAACGTGCTCAACTTTTTGGCTCAGCTCTGGTACTCTCTTCGGTCCCAAGCTAATCGTTGCACCCCTCGAAACATAGGAAAATCAACGAACCCCTAATTTTATCTGTCAAACTTTCATAGCGAATCAAAACAAACATAGTGTAGTACTGGAATGTATACTAGAATGGGGTACGTTAATCGATTTGCTTGGGACCAATAGGCTAGTCAAGTAGTGAGCCAATTTAAAATTGTTAGTTTCGTATTGATTGTTGATACAAGGCCAGGTTGGTCGCACAAGGATTCACACATAATATGGGACGGATAACGACGAGGTATTCGCTCCCGTTGCTCGGAAAACTACTCTTCAAACCATCTTGACCATTGCCAGTCGGGATGACATGCTGGTGCAGCACAAGAATATCAAGACTGCTTATTTGTATGCCGAGCCCCATGGACTCAAAACAGACGGCGACAAGGTTTGTCGGTTGAAACGCAGCATCTACGGACTGAAGCAATCGGCACGGGTCTGGAACCGAAAAATCGACAGCACGTTCAAAAAGATGGGGTTCAATCCTACCGAATCGGATCCTTGCCTGTACGTGAAGGAGCAACATGGTAAGCGCAGTTACATCTTGATCTACGTTGATGACATGGTTGTGTGCTGCCACTCAAAAGAAGAATTCGAGACAATCACAAAAGCGCAGGCGAAGCAGTTCAAATTCTCAAGTCTGGGAGAGCTACGACTGTTCCTACGTGTTGAACCAGGCCGGTTACATCGAATGGATTGTGGAGCGGTGTGGGCACGAACACGCCAAGCCGTCCAAGATTCCACTCGATCCAGCTTACGTAAAGCAAAAGGAGGAGGAAGAACTGCCTACCAATAAATCGTACCGTAGGTAGTTTGCTGTACGTCGGCGTCAACACGCGGCCAGACATCTGCCTTGCAACTTCAAACCGCGACTGGACGGAGGCGATACGGGTGCTGAGATATCTTAAGACAACCAAGGACTTTTCCCTACATCTTGGATCCGGAAATTAAGGCTTGGAATGTTTTGTCGACGCAGACTGGGCTGGAGATGAAGGAGACCGAAAATCCAACTCTGATTTCCTGATCAAATTCGGTGGAGGGCTGGTAAGTTGGGGCACCCACAAGCAGTCTTGCGTTGCACTTTCTTCAACAGAAGCCGAGTTTGTGGCCTTGGCTCAGGGATGCCAGGAGCTGTTATGGATGCGGAATCTGATGAAAGATATCAACGAGGAACCAGCATATCCAATTGTCGTGTGGTAGGACAACCAATCCTGCATCAAGATGGTCGAGACCGATAGCATGGAAAGGAGGTCTACGTCTACAAGGGATGATCGATTTGCGGTATCTACCAACCGCTCAGATGGAAGTCGATCTGATGACTAAGCCATTGGCCCGGGTGAAGCTGGAAAGACACCGAAATGCGATTGGCGTCCAAGGAAATCTGGAAGGCAATCGTTGACTTCGTTGAGGAGGAGTATTGAGTGCAGATTCAAACTGCATACAACGAAGCAACATAGAATAAGTATTCATTCAATCATAGCAAGCATTATAATCAGCAAAATAATTATCTTCAGTCGTTGTTCATTACTCCATCATTACGCCTTACAAAGTGGATCCCCCCCGATAACCCAAATGATTGAACTATTCCACAAATGGTTTTCAAGCTTATTTTTGAAGGTTCACAACATTTTGATTTACGATTGCTGCGATGGCCAGAGATGAACCAGCCTACGGCCGAAAGTCTCTTAACAACAGAAAACCAACCAACTGCGATCACACCGCAACTGATGGTCGGCAAGCATGGCCTACTACCTAATACGAAAGGAAAGGAATTTCGGATAAATGAAAACCGCAAAATTGTTAAACTTTCTGGAAGCCTCTATCGCTACAGTCATCTTCTATTGTACCTATGCGTCTCTGTTACAGCCAGCAACAGCCCTTGGCCAGTCTACATTACAAACCCGAGAATAGATCTACTATCCACTAATATAGCGTTACGTGTCAGCTCGAATTGATCATTTTTAATTGTTGACAGTCAAAAGCTAACTGTTTTTTTTTTCTCCTTTCATTATTCGCCCAAGGATGCTTCAGCGTGATTTATAATAGTGTAGTAAAATGGCATTTCTGGCCCAGCCAGATCGTGTTTGTGTTTCGTGTTGAGGTGGTCTCGTAAGATAATGGCATCTTTTTCCTTTATCAAAATGGCGTGTTTTGTGTGGGTGAACGTATACAGAAAAATATATATATGAGATTGATGTTTTATGCTTCTTTTATCGTCTCCTTATGCTTCTCAGGTACGTTGATTATCCAATTCGAGAATATGGAGGAAGTCGTGCCCTGTTTTGGTGTAGGGGAAAGAGGGGGCATAGTGAACAGGTGGGGCATAGTGAGCATCCCGTACATCAGCTTGGACTTCCGGCCGTTCGGAACAAATTGGTTCGTGGTAGGATCAATATCGTAATGATATTGAAGCTACTACCAGTTGATTTGTTTCATGCAGCTGGAGATCCAGAGCCAAGCTGCGGGATGCTCACTATGCCCCACCTGTTCACTATGCCCCTCCTCCCCCTATGTGTGTGTTTTTTTATTCGCGAAATCCAATCATAAGTTTAATTTTTTTTTGTTCAATTCGCCAAAACTGAGTATTAATTTTGTTGTAAAATAAAAAATCTTGAAAAAAAACGCGATAAATATAATTATAATTTAGGCTTTTCTAATGAAAAGCATGCGCTGCATTAGTGTTTGATCTTTAGTGTTAAGTTACTGCACGCATAGTTGCAATATTTCTCCAATAACCTACTTTAATAAGGTTTCCCAATCAAATCTAGTGACTTTCCAGGGTGCCACTGCTGTCACACGAGTTGCTACTCGAGCTGTATAGATCCGGAACGTCCGGTAGAAATCGGTTGTAGCTAGCCTCACGGTTACGGGTCGTCTTTGGAATATACGAGTTTGAACCCCTCCTCTCCACAACCGGGCGGCAGCGTTGCTGACAGAACGACGTCGTCAGTGGCAGTACCGCAGGCAGATCCAGTACATTCTCCACGATATAGTCCGGCTGGATCTGATGGTCCAGGTCGGCTAGGCTCTTGTCATGCATCAAGCGGAGATCTTTTGGCAGTGGAAGCCAAATGGTGGCAGCAAGCTTCGACTCAAGGCCACCCTGATGGGTTGATGTTTTTTTATGTTTGTTTAAACGGAAGAAAAATAAAATGGCCGACGATATCGACCCGGTAGAAAAATGAAACCGTTTTAGCATTACGGCCGAAATTTCAAACATTCGAACATGAACATTTGTTTTTATGTGTTTTCTTCTGTGTTTTTTCCGGAAATTAGCAAAAGATGTTTACTTTTGGTAAACGCTCTTCTGTTTTCTGTGTAGGAAACTAAATTTAGGGAAACAGTTTTTTTTATGCTATAGGGCTGTGTTAACAAGAGTAATTTCTGCACGCACTTACCACCGCCGGCAGGGACCCTTCGTGTGTTTTGTGCGATCGGGATGCGATTTCCGCAGGTCGCAGGATCCGTTTCTCTTGTTTCAAATTATCTACTTGTGTATCTAACCTTTGCTGCTAAATTTCATCAAATTCTCGACGAAACACTCACATCACATCACATCACATCATGCCACGTGTACACTCTTTCTACTTGAGGAGTTCACTCTATTCACCCGCACTCACCTGTATGTCGGTCTCCAGTTTATCACCGATCATGGCACATTCTTCCGGCTGCACCCCCAGATAGTGACAGGCGGCGTAGAAAATGTTCCGATCCGGCTTGGCCCACGGAAGATCTGAGGAAACTAGAATACAATCGAAATAACGACCCAAAGCCAACCTGTCAATCTTTTCCCACTGCGATGCCGACGGTCCATTGGTGACGACGCCCAGCAGGTACTGGAGCCGGAGGGTTTGCAGCATCGAGACGATTTCCGCACTGGGGGCGAGATAACGCGTCCGGTACTCCACCCATCGGGGGTACAACTGGGCGGCCAGATGTTTGCGTCCACTTGGGAGGGCATCCTCCCACAGCTGGGTGCGCCACTGGGCAAGCAGAATGTCCGGATTATCCGGACAACGACGGTAGGACGTCAGGAAAGTGGTGCTGATTTCGGAGGCGAGCTCACGCTGTAAGCCGTATTCGTTTTGAAGAATGTCTGCGATCTGGAAGGCGAAGGAAAAAAATAAATAAATATTAGTCCGCGTCTATTTCCGAAAATCAATTATCTATCTTAGTCGCAAGGAGTGGCTTAATAGGGCAATAGCCAAATCATATGATCATTTGATTCACCGTCTGGTTCGATATTTCTTGGGTTGGACATTTTCTCGGCTTGACTGGGCTCTTTGACCACTAATTATTTGAAGCCAATAAGGACTTAAAAGCCAAGAAAATGATGAAGAAAGTATACATCTATTGCTCATTGCATTGGAAAGCGTTTAAAAAACTATGAGTATCGAGCGGTACAAGCCTTGAACTCATTCGGAAAATTATACGTACGTTCCGTGGTGGATACGCTTTGATCGCATTAGTTAATGAAATATGCAAAGCGTCAACCATTATTTTAAATTCTCAATTATATGGTTTCGCAATGCTGTTTGAATTTGTTTACCTTATAATTAACTCAGCGTTGTCAGGTTGTTGCTGCAAAATTAATGAGTGCAGAAAATCTAATCTAATCTAATCCAACACCACCATAGCCAGTTCATGTAAACCTCCTGGAAAACGATAGATATATCATTGGAATATGTTGCACATCAGAGATGTGCAAAATATATCAATCCGGCCTACTGTGCAGCATTTAAGGGGCTAGATGATTCAGGAACATCGGGCCTATGTAAATTAAAAATTTAAACACGATGCTTCAGAATCCAATAAATGGATGAAACGTGGACATCTCGTACCGTACGTTCAGAAGGGAAAAGGAGGAAGGAACCCTTCCCGAGCAAAGCCGGTTAACAAAATAAAAGTAAATCGATATTAAAGTTTACAGTTCCTATCATAATGAAAACTCATTTTGATTTCAATTGTCGCGACAGAAGTCTGATATCATATTGTGCTTTCATTATGCAGTCAAGACTAGGGGCAAGACAGCTCCTAATCATGAGCAATTTGTGAGTTGCTTTTGATGCACCTCGAGTAAAACGCTGTCCAGACTGGAGAGTTATAACATGTTATAACGGTTGTCAAATAATAGCAACACAGAAACCACCATCAAGATAGCGCTATAACATGTTATAACTCTGTAGTCTGAACGTACTATAACTCACATTGCTCAGTGAGAAAGATCACTGTTATTTGCTTTTTCACTTTTCGCATCACTGCAATATTCCTGAATCATCTCTGCTTAATATCATTCGTTCAACCCTTACCAACTGTGGACGTGAACGGAACCTATTGCTGCCCAGCTGCCTTACGCTTACCAAAGGCGAATGCTTGTCCGGCTGGATATGGTGGAAAAACTCTGTCTGGCCAAATACTCAAAATCCGGCAAATTATGTACCCCACACGTACTACAATACTCGTCGAAGCAATCCCGTTTTCATGGCTTTTCAAACTACCGCTGGATGAAACTACGAATCGAGCTCTGAATTACCACTGTGCCGTTATACTGACGGTGGACATCCATCCATCCTCTTTTGGTGCTTCTGCTGTGCCTTCTGGATGATCGTGATACGGTCCCGTCTCTGCGATACACCACCGTGATTTTGCTGCGGCCGTCGACGGCAGTCTCCTTTAAAGTAGAACATCGCTACATACGTGTGTTCTTCGTTTGTCTTTCGTTGGCTAATTTCATAACGGCCCAGGTGTAGAATTTGTTGTTCGTCTCCATCTGTTTTATGAACAGCGCTGACGATATCAAGTGATTGGTAGCGATCTTTTGAAATTGATCACTTCTAGATAGAGCTGGAATTAGGGCGTAGCAGTTTTTGTAAACATTGACTTCTATCGACGATTTCTAGGAGCTCAAGGCACGCCCACGCAAACCAACATAACCGTCGGGTAGGGGAAGTCTTCCTCAACGCGATGGTGTTGTTGATTTGCGTTGACAAGCCTTAACTTTCTAGAAATCATCGAAAGAAGGCATTGTTTACAAAAGCTGTTACGCCCTAATTCCAGCTCTATCTAGACTTGGTCTTAACATGACCGTGGGAATGCAAAGAGAAAGTCGGCGAAGATCATCTGTCAGCTTGATTTGTTCTTCATCTTCCTGACCGGGTTTCACTTCGATTTCGTCCGGTTGATCGTTGATGGGTTTGAAGTCTGGACGAGGATCGCACTCACCGGAAACATTGGTAGGGGTTACTTCAACGCCCTCCTCCTCTTCGGCTTCGGAAATGACGGCGGCTGTTCTGGCTGAACATTCCGCGGGGTAATGGTTGGTAGCGTTGCCATCGGAGTGATGGAATTGGGTGTTAATCGATTGTTGCCCCCACCGGGAGATTTTTTCTTTATCGGAAACTTTAGCGGCGGAATTTTATTGGAGGGGCCACGGTTGGAATATTGCTCACCACGCTATGTTTTATGCGCTGTGATGGAATCTTCACGCTGTATCTAACTTGCATGGTGCTAACGAAAAGGGGATCGGAGTTAGTTATTACCATTTTCAATGGGACTGCTGTTACGACTACTGGATCAATCGATGCTGATGGGATCGACGGATCGTTGCATTACAGGTGAAATTCCAGATGTTTAGCACAATAGCTGTTTGGAGAGCTTGTTTGATCAGCGACGATCCTTTTGAAGTGACCACTTGGACTGGCTGCTGAGGAGGAAGAACAAATGCTGAAAGCTGGCTGAAACTGCAAGTTCTTCCTGGTAGTAAGCACGCACCGGCACAGGTTCTACCATAATATTCAAGCCATTTGAAAGCCTCAGGATACACTTGGGCTTACTTTGTCTACAAACATGGCAAAACTGACGTCTAATATGAGAAACATATTCTTCAAGGGAGTAAACGGAGTAAGCAGAGAAAAGAAATCGATGAACGTCGATTAATCGAGGTACATTGAGTTACTCGCTGCAAAAAAAGCAACTCAGAGTAAACCTGTCTCACCTCTTGAGTCAACACTTTTTAAATGAAAGCAACTTAACTTGAAGCTATGCTGTTAACGTCTTGTATAAAATAAAATTGAAGTTCATATGTCGTTGAACTAACGATTATTGTTTATTTGTTTTGGTTAACACATTTTAGGTCATTCGTGACATGCCCGGGGTGAGATTTGAGCTCAAGTCTTTCAGCGTTAGAAGCATGGATGCTAACCAGATAAATAGAACGAGAATACATTTTAAATACAGGAAAGATCTCATCCAATTTCATAATTGTATCACAGACAAACAGACGTAACACTTTGAAAAAGTTTTTCTTGAAAACATAGTATCTCAAAACATAGGAGCTCAGTAACGACATCTCTCTGGCTTCTCGCGGAAAACAAGATTGCTCGCTAATTCGCAAACAATATTGCATAAAAGTTCTATAGAATGTATAGAAACGTCAAAGTGATCCGATGCCAGCGCTGCGGCGAGTAGTTCGCGGAACTGATAATATTCAAATCAACCGTTAAATGCGTGAACGAAGATACACAATGAAGTGTTACGTCTGTTTGTCTGTGATTGTATACTCCTACTGCCCTGATGTACTACTGTTGAACCAAAGACTATTCCTAGACCTAGTTCATAAACTAATCAGACGCATCATGATCACAAAAAAGGGAACATCAAACGTCTAAAACCAGAAATAAATGAACTAGGACGACTCGCTTGCCGAATGAATCTGTGATGGAACTGGGCCATTCCCACTTGTTCCAAACTTTTGAAAATAGCGCGCTCGAAACAGCTCAACTAATTACATCAGAAAGCTGATAAAAGTACCGACACACTTGAAAGACTAATCACATCTCCTATTTCTAGTTCAACATTTCACAACATTTCATCGGATCATTGAAAAAAAAAACTCTTGCACAATCCGCCTCCAATCCAAATCATCAGGCCAGCCTACTACCAATCACCTAATAATAGTTTTGATGAAAAGGATACTGATTAAACAAAACTGTGTCATCGAGTGACATATTGTTTCCAGCGTAAAACTCACGATATGCAAGCGATTTGCATAAAAGTAAAAGTTCACATTTACACACTCTGCACACTTATTTTGCGCCAACATTTTTTCAGTGTGCCTCAAGTGTGCCGCGCTTTGCCGAGAGTGCCAGCTATCGGACTGACTTTGTTTGATGGTATGTTTGGCAACCCGGTTAATTTGACAGTTCAAATGTTTTGCCTTGCTTGCTGCAATGTTGCAAACCGAAAGCGAGCGATCATCGTCAGTTCCGTGTCGAAAAATCTGATCTACCTACCTGGAAAGCAACAGCAAGAACAACCGAAATTACGCCAAACTTTCCAATTCGACCAGTTGTAATGCGTTGAACACCAACCTTTTAACACCCGTTAACGAATGCTTAAATCTGCTCAGAGGCAAAAACAATCAGGGTTATTCTGCGTGGCGAATGAGGTAAGACGACAATTGTCACCTCGCAGTCACATGACTCTTCTACTCTATTCCGACAGTCGACTCGGGTGACGTGAGATGTTCATTCTTAGGTGAGTTGCAAAGTGACTCGGTGTTCATTCGCCGAAATGTCAGTTTGCTTTGTTTTTCGAAAAAGGCCTACGCAGTTTTTGTAGGTTCATTTATCAGTTTAATCGCAGGTTTTTATTTTTTACTATGAACATGCGTTTCGAGTCGTATTTCATGTCAAACAAGGTAGATTAAAATATTTTATTATTTTCTTAAACATAATCCGCGTTCACATGTTCGAAATCATGCATAAGAACATCATTTAAATTGATTGAAAATGTCCGGCCTGTGCTAGGCCCGGTTAGTGAAAAACTGGGAAATACTGCCGAATTACCCACAATTTTGTTATTTTTTGAATCTTGGTGAAATGTTGTACCGGATATCGATGTCTGATGGCATTTTGACATTCAAGATGGCGGCTTATGGTTGGAAAAAAAAACTTGGAAATTCTGTCAAACACCCCACAATATTGGTATTTTTGGAGGGACCGGACATCGATGTACGAGGCCGTTTTAAAATTTAAGATGGTGGCTTCCGGTTAGAGAAAAACTTGGAAATACTGCCAAATACCTCACCATATTGATATTTTTG